AAAGGCACCAAGTTCAAGAAAGCTCACAAAATAAATAAAATCCAATGTATCTAACAAGCATACCCTAAATGTAGGCAATATTAAGTTGCTGAAGAGTAAAAATGCAGACAGAAGATCAGCAGCAGGGTGGCAGCTACCCGTATTACTCTAAGTGCAACATGTATTACCACCTACAGGTGCTCTACATGTGCATGCAGCACAAGCAAATCATGGCCCTGAAACAGAGTATGTGATCTTGAGGCAAGACTGGCTGAACTGGATGAACAAAGAGATAAGCAGTTACACATAGGAAATTTTCAGGGACTAGAGAGGGGCAAATAGGAGGGTCCTCCGAGTATCTACACTGGGACCTGTGTCATTCAACATATTTATTATTATCTGGAAATGAAAGAGAAGACTGAAGTGGCAAAGTACACAGGTGATAATTTCCTTAAATAATTTTGCAAGTCCAAAGCTGAGCACAACTTGTTATAGGGGGAAATCTCACAAAACTGGTGATGAGGCAACAAAATGGCAGATGAAATTCAACATTGATAAGTGAAAAGAAATGCACATTGGAGAAAAAGTATCCCAACTCTCACGCCCCCTCCTCTCTCCATATATACAAAATGGGTTCTAAATTAGCTCAAGAAAAATCTTGGCATCATGGATAGTTTCTTTAGACCATTTCTATTGTTCTTTGCTTCTAACAGTTCATGTAAAGGTGCTAATAACGTCAAATTAGTCAGAAATTTCCTGTAGTAGTAAAGCGGCCCTAAGCATCAGTGGGCAATAAAGCTAACAGAAGAGAAGGTTACTTACCTGGTACAGTAACTGAGGCTCTTCAAGATGGTTGTCCTTGTGGGTGCTCCACCTTACGAGTTTTCAGCACTGCTGCGCCTTTAGTTGGAGATTTAAAATAGCAGTGCCCTCAGTCACGTGTCTCTCGTAAAGGCTACTGCACTTGTACAGCCAACCAACCCTTCAGTTCCTTCTCTGCACAGAAATACATGAGTTCCAATGTAGAGGGGAGGAAGGGTAGGTGGTGAAACACTCACTGGGACAATCATCTTGAAGATCTTCTGTTACTGCTCCAGGTGAGTAACTTTTTTTAATTTGAGGAGTGTCCCTGGAGGTGCTCCACCTTAGGCGATTATGAAGCAGTGCTCTTGCCTGGTGGACGGAGCTCCGGTAAGTCAGTATGGACCATGGACAATACAATACATCCAAATACAGCGTCGAGGGTATAAAGTCGTGTAAATGTGTAAGCTGAAGCTCATGTAGGAGCTCCGCAAATGTCTATGATAGGTACATTTTTTAAAATGCTGTGGAAGCTGCCATCGCTCTAGTAGAATGTGTCTTTATAGCTGTTGGGGGCTCAAGGATAAGTATAAAGTATGAGAGGCGGATACAATCCCCTATCCATTTGGATAACGTAAGTATGGAGATGAGCATGAACTGTAATCTCTCTGGAACAGCTATAAAGAGTCTGGTAGACTTCCAAACGATTTTGTCCTTTGTAAGTAGAAGGCTAATGCCTTACTGGCTTCCAGCATGAAGCATGGTTTCCCTGTTGTTGGCCTGAGGCTTGGGAAAGATGACCAGAAAGTATATGGACTCATTGCAGTGAAAATGAGGTAGACATCGTGGGAAGGAATTTAGGGTGCGGGCAGAAGATGACCTTGTCCTTGTGAAACATGGAATAAGCAGGATCAGTCATCAGGGCACCTTGTTCACCCACTCTGCGTGCCAAAGTAATGGCTACTAATGCCTGCTTCATGAATAAGTGCAACAGGGAGCATGTGGCCATGGGTTCAAAGGGGCTTCCTCATTAGTGCTCTGAGTATGAGGTTTAGGTCTCATGCTGAAGTTGGGCCTGTGGTTAGAGGGTACATGTTTTGTAGCCCCTCAAAGTGTTTAGCTGTGGGATGTGCGAACATGGCCAACTCACCAATCGTGGAGTGCAATGATGTAACTGCAGTGAGATGCACTCTTACAGAGCTGAGGGAGAGCCCTGGCTGCTCAAGACCTTATAGATACTGTAAAATTTCCAGAAGGCCAACTATTGAAGAAAAGAATTTGTGAATCACACCAGAAGGCGAATCTGTGCCACTTATCAATGTACTTTCTTGTAGCTGGCCTATGAGAATTCAAGAGAATCTCTTGCACAGCATCTGAACACCTTGATTCTAGAGAGGTCAGTCAGCGATGAGCCATGCTTGTAGATGAAGGTTATGGATATTGGGATGATGAAGCCCATCTCCGTCCTGAGTGAGGAGTATGGAAACTGGAGGGAAACGCCATGGAGAAGCTTGGATCATTATCAGGTAAGGGAACCAAATCAGTCTAGGCCAGTTTGGAACTACCAGTATGACAATGGCTCTGTTCTGTTTTATTTTCAAAATTACCTTGTGGAGCAAGAGCAGTGGTGGGAAGGGATACATGATCGTTCCGCCCCACTTTATCCTGAATGTGTCCCCCAGAGACTGGGGACCCAGTACTTTGCTGCATTTGGTGGTGGTGTTGTTTGCAGAGGTCTATAGTGCGATGTCCCCAGCGTTTGAACACCAGTCTCAACGTGCTCTGGTTGATTTCCCATTCATGGTTTAAGGTAAACAGTTTGCTGAGATTGTCTGTCAGGGCATTCTCCCTGCCTGTAATGCACCATTCCCAAAGGTGGACAGTTTCTCAACATAGTTGGAAAAAGCGGTCTCCGTCCTGGCGATCAATGTAAAACTTAGCTGTCAGGCTGTCCCTAAATATGTGTAATGATTTGTCATGGAGGAGGCTGGTAAAATGTTGCCAGGCACTGCAAACCGCTCAGAGTTCCAAGAGGTTGATATGAAGTTTGGATTCCTCTGGTGACCATTGACCTTGGACAACTTGTTGACCAATGTGCGTTCCCCACCCTAATATTGATGTGTGCATGGTTATTGTGACCAATGGAGGTGGGAGGTGAAAAGGTACTCCCCCTTGCAGGTGTTGTCTACCTCTGCCCACCAGGTGAGAAATTCTTTCACCATGACTGGCATTTGCTTATTTGGTGAAACTGGTGTTTGTATACAGTGTGAAGCCAGGCTTGTAATGGTCTCACATGTAGGCAGGCATGTGTTACAATGAATGCAGCCACTGCCATGTATCCCAGGAGCTGAAGACAGAGTTCTGCAGCTCTGGCGAGTGGCAGTGATGCAATCGCAGTTGTGCAGTTGAGTTTGGCCACTATGAATTTGAGGGTTTTTGTTGGGGTCAGAGAGCATTTTTGAAGATTGAGTTGCTGTCCCAGTTTGTTGAATAGTGCTCTGGTGGTTGTCACCACCCATTGTGCATCCTGAAAAGATGACCCTTTCAGTAAACAGTCATCCAGGTATGGGAAGAAAATGACTCCTCTTTGGTGAAGGTGTGCTGCGGCCACCGCTAAGACCTTAGAAAAAACCTGTTGGTTCTGTGGAAAGTTCAAAGGGGAACACAGTTTATTGAAAGTGGTGGTGATGCACTGTGAATTGTAGGAAGCATCTGTAAGCTGGGTGTATCAAGATGTGGAAGTATGAATCCTGTAGGTTGAGGGTGGACAGCCAGTCTCCCTTCTCTATGGCTGGTATCACCATGATGAAAGTCAAGATTTTGAAGCGCTGTGCAAGGACAAATCTCTATTGAGGCTGCATAAATCTAGGATTGGTCCCCATCCTCTGCTTGTTTTTTTTGTGAGAAAGCAGTGATGTAAAAACCCTTCCCCCTGTGCTGTGTTGGTACATGTTCTATCGCGCTGAGCTGGAGACGATGTTCTATTTCTTGCAGAAGCACACTCTGGTGAGATGGGTTCCTGACGAGGGATGGGAAACGATGGTGG